CAGGGCAGGCCCATCTTCCTCCGGTGTGATGGAGTCAGTGTCAAGGTCTGCTGAGCTCTGCACCCAGCCACCCCACTTGCCTGGGCCTCAGCTGTTTCCCTGCCCGTCCAGGCAGGATCAATGTTATGAGGACTGAATGAAATAAAAGAGGTGAGGTCTGCAGGCGGTGCCCAGCATGCAGGAAGGGCTGCAGGGTGGGGACACTGCTCCCTGCTGCCGTCTGTGCCCGCGGGCTCATGGGTGTGGGCAGCCCAGGGACTGGGGGTTGGGAGGGATCCCGGCTGGACTGCGACACCTAGTCCTGGCGTCCCTACTACTGAGCAGTGCTGGGTTTACAACTGAGGTACCTCTCAGTACCTCAGCTTCCTTCTCAGTAAAATGGGGAACATCATGGCCCTACTCTTTAGGATTACCAGAAGGCAGTGAGTGGCTCTCAAAGTGTGGTCCCTGGCCCCCCGCACTCCTGGGAACTGTTAGAATGCAGACACTTGGGCCCCACCGCAGACTAAGGCATCGGCACTAGGGCTGAGGCACCGCCAGCTGTGTTGTGAGAAGCCTTCCGGGTACCAGCCCTCTCTGCCCAGTGTCGCTTTCCTTTCCGGCCTTAAACCCCCTTCACCAGCTCTGCCCAGGCCTTTCCCGGGCAGCTTTCAGGAATCAATCAACCGCCTCTATAAAAGTCTCTGGGCTTCCTGGAAGAAGTTGCCCCAGAGACCGGAATGCAAAGGGTTGCTGTCAAGCTGTCTTTCGCTCTCCCTTCAGCCTGGGGTCCTCAAGCGCCTGGTGGCATCACGCGCCCTCAGAAGGGCCAACAGCTGGAGAGGGAGGTGGTTCTGGCTCTAGACCCCCTGGCACCTGCTGCAGGTGAGTGCCCTGCCCCAGGGGTCTCCAGCCGTCGTCCTCACACCTGCCCACATGCCGTGCTCCCTGATGCTGAGAGCCCAGAGCTGGACACATTCACTCACTCGGCCACTCACTCAGTAAACGCTTCTTGTGCCTCTGCTACGTGCCGGGCCCTGTTCAAGGTACTGGGCTCACAACTGAACAAAACAAAGTTCCTGTTTCCTGGGGCTGAGATCCAGAGTGGGGAACAGAAGCAAACTATACGCCAGAAAGCAAAATCACCTTGTGGAGCCGCTCACGAAACTGAGTGAAGGAAGTGGGCAGCGTGGAGATCCCCAGACACCTGAACTCAGCCTCTTCCCAGGCACGCACAAGCAAACTCAGCCTCTCTGAGGCTCAGTGTCCTCATCTATAAAATGGGGTCGTCGCAGGATCCATCTTCCAGGCAACTGGAAGGTGAACTGAGCACGAGCCAGAGCTCGAAGACGCCACTGCCATCCTCACCCGCAAGGGCTGCGCTGAGCCCAGTGCAGCTGGTCCCGCCTGCGGCTTTATTCACCTGGCACCGTGGAGTCCCAGATCGGCCCCCTGATTTTACAGAGCAGGCACCTGAAGTTCAGGGAGTTCTGTGACTCGCCCTGAGAAACCCCCAGCTCACGGGTGGGGCTCTGGCCCTTTGGCCTTGAGAGGGGCAGGCAGCAAAGCGAGCTCCTGAAATAGAGCCACCCGGGGGGATCTGCCTCCCATCTCATCACCCCGCCTTCTTCCATCGCTTTCCATGAGAAGGACTGTGCGGATGGGAGGGAGGGGAGGTAGCGGCACCTTCCCACCTCAAGGGTGTCAAGTGCCCTCTCAGGGCACTCTGTTCTCACTGCTCGTTCCATGTCTTGCCCTGTCCCCTGACCTCCAGACTTTCACCAGGTCAGCCGGAGCCTGCCCTGTGCTGTCAGACAGGCGGGTCCACACCAGAGTCCCGCGGGCTCCCTGGGTGCTTCCTGCATCCACACCTGCGTCCTCTGTCACTGAGGTCAAACGAGGGGACCCTGGTGCAGGCCCTGCCCTGGGCTGGGCACACAGGCACACCCTGGTGGCCATTCTCTCTCCCCTCTGACTCCAGCAAAGTGTCTCCTTGCTTCTTTCCTAAACAGGCCCTAAATTTCCCAGCCTGCTGCCCTTGCTGTTGCCCCTGCCTCCCCAGCCCTCCCTCCGGGCCTCCAGGCCTGCTGTGCTCCCCACCCTGCTGGGAGCCTGCCACCTCTCGCCTCTGCCGAGCTCGCCTTCTCCTCTTGACCTCCGCCTGGCACTACCGCCCGTGGGCATAGACAGACGCAGGGCCTAAGCAACATGGCACAGAAGAGAACTAGTCTGGCTGCCTCCGTTGCTGAGCACTGACTATGTGCTGGGCACCACCCGAGATGCCCCCGCGCATCACAGTCCCTGCGAGGTGCCTGTCACTGTGCCAGTTCACAGATGAGGACACTGGGGTTCAGAGGCACCCCGCCGGGACCTGGTGGCTCTGGGAGTCGCTCCTAATTCATCATTATCTCCTCCGCTGCCCGGCACAGGTTGCTACTCAGCCAGCAGCTGTTGGGTCTGCTGGGAGAGTTGAGTTAGCGCTTTCAAGGCTGAGTCCAGAGCCAGGGCTGGAGGGGGCGGGCAGGAGCGAGGCCGAGGCCGGCAGCTGGCCTGGTTTCCTTCATCATTTAGGTTGCTCGTGAGCAGCCAGCCGTGAAGACCCTGCCTAGGGCTTCTGAGCTGTGGCATATTGGCTGCAAAGAAAAAGGGGAGGCAGGATTGGGGTCACGGGAAGAGGGGCCCAGGGTGAAACTAGCTGATAAGCAGCTCGGGTTGGGGGGGCCAGGAGAGATGTGCCACTCAGTGGAGTCACCAAGACCAACCACGAGTTTCTCTCCAGCACCCTCCACGCTGGCTCCTTTAAACCAGCTCCCCCCTTCCAGCTCCAAGAAGGGCAGATGGCGTCAGTGGCCAAGAGACTGGCTGCACCTGCCCTTGCTAGCGTCTCTCTTGTTTCTGGCATAAAACTTTAATAAACTGCACCCACGTTCAGAATCCTTTCCCAAGGCAATTTTGTGTGGAAAGTCACTTAATTTTCACGAGTCCAAGGAAGTGTTAGGACAGAGCTGGGCATCCCTAGTGCCAGGCACGGGAACCTAGGTGTGGAGAGGGGAGGTGGTCAAGGTCACAGCTGGCGAAGGACAGAGAGGAAGTAGGGTGTGGGGGGCGCTCAGCAGTAGATGTTCATGAAGTGACTGCTTTGGGTGGGGCATGGGCTAGAGGCTGGGGATACAAGGAAGGAGACTCCCCATCCCTAACTTGTCTCACTTTAGTTAACCAACGCCGTCAGCTCCTGTTCCGTGCCAAGCACCATTCTAACCACCTAAACATCAATGCAGCCACTCTTCACATCAGCCGGTCAGAATTATCATTATCCTCAGTTCAGGGATGAAAAATCTGAGGCCCAGAGTAGTTCCTTGAGTTGTGCAAAGTCACATAGCTAGAAAGTGGCAGAGCATGGCCAGGACTTGAAACCAGACCATCTGGATGCAGAGCACGTGAACATACTGGTTTCCGGCAGACAGCCAGAGAGGGCCATCTGGGGGGTGAAGGCAGAGCACGGGGGAAAGACGTCCTCAGACCTGGTTCTCACTCCCTGCGCCACCGCCTATGCCCCAGCTCTCTGAATAGGCTCAACCTCAGTTTGCCCATCTGCAAAATGGAGACACTTCCCAAGGATGCTGTGATGCTAAGAAAAGTAACGATGCTAGGATGTGCCTCAGGAATGCTAGTGCGATCCAAATGGGGGAGCAAGGAGAAGGGGGAGCACCAGCCCTGGCCCTGGCCTGAAAGCAGAGATGGAGAAGCAAAGCCAGGCCAGGTACTCCTGTTCCTAATTCCCAGCTGGTTCCTGGCTGGCTGTTTTTTTCTGGCTGCCCTACAGCTAGGTCTACTTGGGTGAAGCCAAGCAGGCTTTGAGACTTAAAGTTACAGGACACCTAGATAAGAGGCCGAGGAGATAGGAGGGAGATAAGGAATTTCCATTCCTGGAATCTGAGCTGTCAGAGCCAGCAGATCCTTGGGGATCCGCTAGCCTCATCTCCTTGGGTTACAGAGAAGGAGGCCCAGAGAAGGAGCGTGACCACTCAAGGTCATGCAGCTAGTCAGGGCAGAGCAGGGACGAGAACCCAGGCACACGTGCAGGCAAAGTTCAGGGAAAATCCCTGATTCTCCTTATTTCACTACACAGTGAGGGGTGGGCGAGGCCTGCTCCATTTGGGGTGTTCAAACTTATAATAAAAAAATCAATGAGCTTCTCTTTGCCTGGTGCTTATACGATAAAGCTTTCAGACCTCAAGGATTGACTTTTCCTTCCTTTTTTCCCCATCTTATACATATTTAATAATATATATAATCATGCTACCTAGTAATTTAGACCTATGGGTAGTAAGCAGGTGATATAAATAACTAGACTTATATTTAATGAAGGCAAAGCAGGTATTTGGGGCATCACTTGGGGATAGGGAAAATCTGGACTTAGTCTGAGCCAAAATATTTGGTTATTAACTGAGAGGGACCCAAATAGTTGGGATTCTAAATTTTCTAGTGGGAGCACTCCCCCAGGGAAGACGTTGGGATTCTGCTTTTAGGACAAGGCATTGCTCCTCTCCCAGGTATAACCTCCTCCCAAGCAAAGTAGAACAAAGCCTAGAAAGTTGGCCCAGACATAAAACTGAAGGTCACAGCAGTGAGAAAAGAGGTGTAAGTTTTCAGTGGACCAAGAAGCAGAGGGAGCGTGGGAGCAGAGAAGGGAGATTTGGAGGAAAAGCAAGCATTCCCTTGTGCTGCTCACACTGTGCCCTTTTCTCCCTCCCTTCTGCAGTTGCTCTCAAAGGGTGTGGGGCGATGGGCCCCTGAATATCTTCTCCAGTTAGTCTTACCAATCAAACACACTGAAAAAGTTAGATTTAACTAACCTTCACATCAAACAGCCAGACAGTGGGCTTGCACAGCCACCTCACTAATCCTCCACCTTTTCCTGATCTGGGGGCACAGGGCTCGTCTGTTCTCCCCTTCAGGCCACAGACATGGCTCCGGACCTTGAGCAGAAGAATACCCCGAGAGCCACCCCAGCCGCTCACCTTCGACCCCAATCTTGCCGTCCCCATCCTTGTCTCCAGCGGCCAGCAGCGCCTTGGTTTCTCTAGCAGACAGGTCTCTGGCGTCCGCGGAGAAGCCCTTCAGGATGGAGCTGCGGGAGGATGGAGAAAGCCAGGGAGGGTATCAGCCCAAGGTCACCTTGCAGGGCCACTGTCTGCAGGTGGGCTGGCATCTGGGCCGGGAAGCGCAGCTGGGACAGGCGGCAGGTGCCTGCCCTGGGGCCGCCAGGTAGCCCCTGGCACCGTGCCGGGTGGGTGCGTGTCCAGGGCGGACAGGCTGTCCTCAGCGGACGGCCAGCCTCGCTCCAGGCGAAGCACCTGCTTGTACTTATTTATTCAGCCGACACAACACAACAGTGTCTCTCTGGGTCATGCAGGAAACTGGGAGCACAGAGACGGTCTTAGGAAGCCCACAGGAAAAATGAGGAGGTCAAGAGAGACCACCAAGTGTGACAGCGGCCATGGAGGAGGGGCAGAGAAGGGTGTGTGCGGGACGCATCCCTCTCTCCAGGGGTGAGAGGCAGAGGCAGGGGAGGCTTCCCGGAGAAGATGAAGCCTGGAGGACAGGTAGAAGCCAGCCTGTGTGTGTGTTAGGGGGATGTGCATGTGTGGGTGGAAGGAGAAGGTTCCAGACAAAGGGCACCCTGTAGTGGTTTTGGGGGCGATCTGGGGGATGGGTAAGTCCCAACTTCTAAGCCAGTGACACAAGGCCCCGCTGGGGTGGCCCAGAGAGTGTGGAGAGAGGTTCCTTTTGCTGACGCAGGTTTGCATTTTTCTAGTCCTATCCTGGGTCCCCTCCTCTTGATTCCCAGGACTCCTGAACACTCCTCCCCACTCCCGCTCCCGCTGTCTCTGCCTCTCTGCCTCCTCCAGAAACCACTTTCGCTGCAGAAGCCCAGGAGGGTGGGGGTCCGCAGGAGGTGGGAGGTGCTTTCTAGACAATTGAAAATCAATGAAATACTCCAGTGAGCTCTTTCTGTCGTGCCTGTGGTGTGGGGCTGCGAGAAAAACAGCCTCTTTATGTGTATTAAATTATTAAGTAGCATCATTCCATTAGCAATATTAAGTGGCTATAATTTAACCTAGTTAGTTGCACGGATTTTATTCTTCCGGAAGCAAGGGCGGCCAGGCCAGGGTACTTTCTGTGAAGGGTGCTGAGAGGGCAGAGCTGCCGGCAACTGGGGAGGCAGGAGGCCCAGCCCCGCTCCCTCTCCCAAGCCTGAGGCAGGGCCAGCAGGCGGGGCCTCAGTTTACCCCAGCTCATCCTCCTCGATGAAGCCGCTCTTGTCTTTATCCAGGATGTGGAACACCTTCTTCACGTCGTCCGCGCTCTTTTTCTTCAGGCCCACCATTTGGAAGAACTTTTTGTGGTCGAAGGAGTCGACAGCTGTGGGGGAGGGGCAGGTTACCATGAGGACAAAACAGCGCGGAAGAGGGGAGGGGACATCATGGCTGATGGACTCCTGAGTGGTCCTGGGGGGACTAGGGGTTGCACCTCCCTGGGAGGACTGAGGGAGTCCAGGGTAGGAGAGGAGGCTCTGCCCAAGGTCACCCAGCTGGAGGAGGGGTCGACCCGCACCCAAACCTCTCTGCCTCCCAAGCTTGCCCCTCCTCCATGGCCCCCCATCCCCCCGTGGAGGGGGTGACTTTCTGGTTTGCTTGAAGCTTCTGGGACAAGGCCCCTTGAGAGCGGGCTGGGCTTGGGGGTGGTGTGAACATGGTGTGTGTGTGTTGGGGGGATCTTGACACAGAGGACAAGTTTCTCTCAAGGTCACAGTGTGGGAGGAGAGGGGAGACCCCAGAAAGTTTGGCTTTGTTGTAGAAATCTGTTTCAGTGAGAGAGGGGAGCCTTTGGAAGGCTCCCCAGGATTTCCCAGTGAAGTTTCTTCTCCAAGGGAGAAGGTGACTCAAGGAGAAGTGGGCGAGGGGGTGTCACAGAAGCCGGGGTGGGGGTGGGGGGGGGTTCACGGAACATCTTCACACCCAGGGGAGTGGATACCAGACCAAAAGGACATGGGAGCCCCCAATTTTGTCCTGAGGCCTTTCTGAAGAACACCTGGGAAAGAGTACAATGTTAGACCCCGGAACTTGTGTGGGGACCCTGTCGAGAGTCATGCTCTCCCCAAACCCCACGCCTGGGCTAGGGAAAAGGAGTTTTTGTCCACCTCTGACACTAGCATGGGGGCCAAGACCCGAAGGCCACCCCAGTTCTCATCCCCCTTCTGCCACCCTACGTGACCTTGGGCAAGTTTCTGGCTCTCTCCCAGCCTGAGTTTCCCCATCCGGGCGATGTGAGGGAGGAGGAAGATAGGCAGTTAAGTGCCCACGTCCAGGGCAGCTAGGAGAGGCCAGGCCGCTGCCCGAGGGGGCTGGAAGTTGCAAGCAGGAGGACGATGGCTCAGGGCTGGGGAGAACAGAATGCCAGCTGGGGGAAGGTCACCCCCCTCATGGTTTGCTGAGGAGGGGGGCCCAGAAAGGGGCTTGGACTGTGGGAGGGCCAGCCCCAGTCACCACGGCAGGTCAAAGAAAGGGATCCCTTGGAACAAGGCAAGGTGCATGCCTGCAGCCCCTTCCTTGCACCTTAAAGGGGAAGTTCCCAGCACCCCCGCAGAGACCCGGAGATCCTGCCTTCAACCCGGGTCCTCACAGTTGTGGGACCCTAGTTCATGCTGCGGGCTACCTGGCCTTTGGCACCAGCAAGTTTTGTTTGCTCCGGCAGGGTGCCCAGCCTCCCCCGCCGCCTGCCCGGGCTCCATGAGCCAAGTCCCGCCTGGATGGAGTTTGGGAAATACTGAGGACCTCCCCCCCCAACCCAACTCCACCTGCACCCGGTGCAGAGAGCTAGAGACCTCCAGTCGCCTCCAGTCGCTGGGTCCTGAGGGGTGCAGGGGCCAGGGGAGTGGATGAGGGGAGAGGGATAAGGAGGGGAGCGAGGGGCTCACCGGCAAAGGCCCCCAAAGCCTTCTTGATGTCCTCAGCGCTGAGCAAGTCTGTCATCGACATCCTGCAACTGTTTGAGCGGGCAGAGCAAGTGCGAAAAGATTAAAAAGTGCTTTTCTCATCATTTCTGCTCATATGACCAGCGCTGCAGTGCTGCGCGCCCGGCGCACGCCCGCCCCACCTGGCGCCGAGCCAGGGGGCGCGGGGCTGGGCGCGCAGCCAGAGCAGCTCAGTCCAGCCGCGCCGCCGAGCTGCGCGGGCCGAGCGCGCGCGGCTCCGGGCTCCGAGGGCTGCGGCTCCGCACTGTCCCCGCCGGGAGTGCTGCGGCCAGGGCGCGGGGGAAGGGACGGCCCCTGGAATGTAGGGGGCCTCCGCGTCCTCGGCAGGGTCTGGAGGCTTCACCTGCCACCAAGGGCGCACAGCCCGCGCCGGCCCCGGTGCCGCGCGCAAGGTCTCGGCCCGGGCATCGCCAAGGATGTCCTGCCGCGGTGGGCAGGGAGGTCCTGGACTCTGGGGCCAGGCCCACACCCTCAGGAGTCCCTCGGGCCCGCTCCCACTCCCTCTGCTGCTCCTACCTCACCCTCGACTCTTGTCTGTCCTGGATGCAAATTCATGCTGCGAAATCTGCGCGCTGAGGTCTGGAAACCTGACCCACCGGAAGCTCTGACTGCCGGTGCCGCTCACCCTCTGTGGATCCCATCCTGCCTCTGGCCAGGGATGCTCATTCTGAAATCTGAGCTTTTCTTTCTTCTCCTGCTTCCTTTTTGTTTTTTTTTTTTTGCTAGTCTGACTTTCAAAGAACCCTTGTCAGATACCCACTGATGACTAACTCCCCGTTCTTCTGGGCCACAGAACAGTGCTGGGGTCACACCTTCAGTGCCCACAAACTTTCAGGGACTGGTCGGGTGGGAGAGGCTGCTTGGACTCTCTAGGCACCCCCACCACCCCAACTTGGTGATAGGCTGAATGTATGTTAGGAGGAGGGTGGCGCCTTCAAGACCACACTTTCCAAGCAACATAGATGGGTCTGGCTGGACGTCCCCTCTGGAGAATGTCACACTTCTGGACCCTTCTGCAGCTAGACCCCAGTGCATTCTTTTCCCACCGTCTCCCGGGGTCAGCTGCCACCAGCTGCAGGTGCAGACTTCTGGACAGGGAGTCAGGAGGCCTGGGTTCTAGGTCCTGGGCTGCATGAGCCCCTGTGTGACCTTGGCCTGTGGTCTGCCCCATCCTTGGCCCTCTGTTCCCCTCCCCTGTGTTGATGGTGTTAGTGGTCCCCCCCATATGGTAGGATCCTGAGACCCCAATGCAAGGAGCAGGCAGGTGGGCCGAGGCTGAGACTGGCGGCCCTGGTGAGGGGAGGGCTGGGGACGGCAGTTCTCCTGTGCTGGCTGTCAGCTCTGTCTCCCTCGCTTGGCCTGGACAGCTACCCTTCCTGGAAACCTTAGGACACCACTGGCTCTGGCTGCCCCCCTTTTGTGTGAGTCAGCGCCTTCGCGCCATGGCCCGCCAGTTTGGTTCCCAGGCACCGGAGGAGGCTGCAGCTCCTGGGCTGATCCTTCTGGGCGGGAGACCTTCCCCAGGCCCCTTCGCTGCCTCTGCTGCCCTGCCCCCACCCAGCTGCTAATGCAGATGTGCAGGCCTTCTATGCTCTTATTTCAGCCTGAGGGTCCTCTCCAGGCCCTGGTTTGTTTTCCCAGCTGAAGAATCCATATGCTATACCAGTGGGGAAACTGAGGCCAGGGAGTCAGCAAATGGACTAAGGATACACAGAGAGACGGTGGCAGAGAACTTGGAGTTCAGTAACCCTCCCACTTCCCGAATGGACCCGGCTTTATCAAGTCCCACACTTTTCAGCCACATGCTAGCTCCTGGAGAGCCACAAACTCTGACCCCTTGCAAAGACTGGAGCCTCCACAGAGGCCTGTCCTTTGCCCTCCATCCTCGATCTCTCCTGCTGCAGATGCCGCCTGTCAATTTAACACGCTCTGGGGGCGGAGTCTACCCACCAGAGTTTCAGCTTAGCCCGCCATGTCCCTCTTCTCCCTCCTGGGGCCCCTGATGACATCACCATTCACAGATGTCTGGCTCCGCCCCCTCCCTCTGCAGGTGCGGGGACCCAAGGCCCAGCCCCAGGCCCCACCGGGAGTCAGGATGGAGAACCCAGGAGTTTGTGCTCTCTGCCCTGGGTTCCCCACCTTTCAGCCCTTGTGTTGCTGGGAGAAGGGAGAAGGGGCTGGCCCTCTCAGCTGGCCTCCTCCCCACGGCATCCCTCCATCCTTCTCCAGCTTCAGTAGCTGCTCCTCACCTTGGCTTGGGGTAGAGGTCTGCAACCTTCACTGAGAGGCTGGGCTGGTGGGAGGTGCTGTTGGGAAGTGAGCCTGCTGGTGGGATCGCCACCTATATAGGCTGCTGCTCTGGCTATTTTGGGAGGTGGTGCTCCCTCCAGCCCCCGGCCCCCCCTCTGGTGTCAGATACTCCCCAGCTGTGGTGCTGGGTGTCTGTATCGCATTCACCTACTGAGGGCCATCAAGCCAGGCCTATTAATAACCCTTGGCCCCTGCCTTCCTCTAGCACCCAAAATTCAAGCTCAGGCAAGTCTCTCCTCTTCCAGGAAGACTTCCATGACCACTTTGAATGGCAGGAATATTTCCATCTTACAGAATCCTGCAAGAAAAGGCAAGCCAAGGGCAGGAACCAGAACTGTCTTCAGGCGTGGGTGAGCTAGGGTCCTAGGCCCTCATCATCTTCTCACCACAGAGGGGCAGAGCCAGCCAGCACAGATGAGAAGACAGCGCAGAGATGTTAGCTGTTATGTCACTTCCTACTTGAAGCCGTGACCCTGGGGCTAATCCAGAACTTTCATAAAATGATCTAGGACCTGGCAGGAAGACATGCGTTGCTTGTCCCCTCACAAGCCCCTTTCTGTTTTGTACCTCAGTGTCTCCACCTGTAAATGGGGCAAACTTTGCTCTCTCCATGGGTTTTGTGGGGGACTATGAAGTCCCTGAAATTATATGCAAAATGTTACGTGCAGGTGAGCTTTTGTGAAGTAAAAGCCCCTAATTTCCATGATCTTCACAAAGGGATTACTGTTGCCATCTGTCTTGGACTGGAGATGACCATGCAAGGGGTGTGTTTGGGAAAGCATGCATGCATGAATGAATGGGTGAATTATTGAATTCAAAAATACTTATTGAGGGACTCCCTAGTGGCACAGCGGTTGAGCGCTGGGTTGTGAAGCTGCCCGCAGCCTCTGCAGCACTGGTTCAATCCCCGACCACTGGGTGAGGGTCCCACATGGTGCACAGACCTCTCCTGCTGCCCGCTGCTCCCCTCAGCGGTGTACTTCGTCAGTCTGCCTGCTCTGCTCTCCCCTCTGACTCTGGTGAATTCTCTCACCCTCCTGCGCTTCTGACTGTGCCCAGTGCTTGTATAAATAAATAAATAAATCTTAAAAAAAATAACAAAAATACTTATTGAGTTTCTGCTATGAACATGTAAGCTTCCTCTCCTCATCCCCAACATTAAGGAGAGTCTCCAGGGCACCAGGGGGGCCCAGGTCTTACATCATGGGAGGTCCAGCCTCCATGCAGAGGCTGCTGGGAAGGAAGATGCACTGTCTCTCACTGGCCGTGGGCTCTGAAGGTGGAAAGTGGGGCGGTGCACGGGATGGAGACACCAGGGCAGAGCCTGAATGTGTAGTGTAGGGGTCTGGACTAGGATGTGGTGGTGGCAACAGGGAGACATGTAGAGGAAGGGCGGCATCTTGCGGGGAGACATTCTCAGTGTTGGGGGCTACAGATAAACAAGGTAGAGAAGCCCAGGTTGACTCTGAGTTTCCAAGTCATTTCGTTGAAGAACGCTGGCACCATTGTTGAAGGTGTCAGGTGTGGAGTGTGAGGCTGGAAGGTATCTGCAGTGGCTGACTGCAACCTGCTCATGTGTGTTATAGATGGTGAAGGCCACATCACATAGAGAATCACTGGGAGCAGGACCTTGGGACTGCCTGGGGAAGTTCTGGCAGAGATACCTAGGAGGTCTGAGCTCTAGAGAGGTCTCCAGGTAGGACACAGAGCTCCGGCGGCCAGCAGGGAGGTCAAGGACTTGATGTCATGGGCGTGACCAAACTCAGGGAGGTCGCTTGAAGATCAGCCTTGAAGGAGATGCCTGGGCAAATAATCACTCGTGTGTTGAACACTGAAGTGTGCACTGCATCATGCCTTCATCCTCAAACCCCCTGGTGGGTAGGCACTGCCTTCCCCACATTACTAAAGAGAGAACAAGATTCAGAGAGGTTGTGTGACTTGCCTAAGGTCACAGCGCAGGCCTCCCTGACTCTAAAGTGCTGACTCCTTTCTACTGTACTCTGCTTCTTGACAAGACATGCTGGGGAGCAGTGCCCACTTCTAGTGATTTATTGGGAACCAGGAGGGCCTTCCTCTCTGTCCCCCTCTATTATCTTTTGTGCCTGTAACTAAGCAGATCTAGGTGGGTTGAACCAGATCAGGGGTGTGCACTTTATATGCGCTTTATTCCATTTTACCTTCATTGTAGGTTTGAAGAAAGTCCCGGAGATGTTTGGTGACTTGTCCCAGGCCACACAGCTGGAAATGAGAGAACTGAGATTTAAACTCAAGTCTTTCCTCTTCTGAAGTACCCCCACTACCCACCATGTAGTGGAGTAGGACAGAGGGCAATCCTGAAACATTACCTAATTCTTTTGCTCCGAATCTATGCTAATTCAAACAATCATTACTTTATTTATTTGGTTTTTACAAAGACCTCAATGCCAGAAAATGAGTTTATTAGCCAGGCCTTTTTTGATGGTAAGTGACAGAAAGCCTGACTCAGATCAGATGAAGACAAGAGGGATATTTATTGACTCATGCAACTAAAAGGTCAATGAGAGTTCAGGTAGGTATGGCTTGATCGAGCCCTCAAACACTGAACGAGCCTCCTTATTTCTCAGCCACACCTTGAGCTGCATTGGCCACCTTCTCAGACTGACCACCCCTGAGGGTTACAAGAGGCTGTTCCCTGCAGTGCTGTCAAATTTCAGGTCCCAGGCTCATGGGGAAAGGGAATTGCCAGAAACTTAATCAAGAGTCTCCAAGCTGAATTTCATGGACTCTGATGAGCTCAATTTGGTCACACACCATCCCTGAAACAGTCACTGTCCCTGCGAAGGGAGCACAGGTCTGGCTTGGTCACAAGGTACTTTCAAGCTTTGGGGAAATGGAATGTCAATCGTCGGAAGAGCAGGGGAGCAAGACTGTTCCCGGATGGAGAGGTGAGGGTCGCTTGATGGTCAAAGCACATGACCTCTTCATTGAGGGGAATTTTGGGGGGTGCCCAAGTGAGCCAGACACTAGGGAGGCATGTGCCCTAAGTTGTGACCGAGTGTGGCGGTGGCATGCGGCAAATTTTTCGAGAATGATTCCCTCTAGAGTGACCTTCCTGGATTTGTGATGTACGACCCCCAGCCGGTCCCTCTTAAGGTCTCTGGACCTCTGCTTAGTGGTAGAAATGCCCAAGGACTTTCCCCTAACTTCAGGGTTTCTTCCTCTGAACAATGGATGGATGCCACACCCCCATGCTGATCTCCCCCTTCTGGCCCCTGGGTCTAACTGCTCTGCCTGGCCTTCAGCCCAGCTATTCCACATGACCAT